GAGAAGAGGAAAAGAGGAGTCAGGTATACGTGGCCCGGGACCACGAGGCCCATTTCGCCTGTCAGGCCTAATTCCGCTCGGGCCCAGAATCCCTCGCCTCCTCTCTCTCTCTCCTCCGCCTCGTTTCGTGCACCCTTCCGTGGCTGCAGTTTATGGCCGTCATTACCTCGATCGGGACCCCGACTCGGATTAAACGATTTGTTCGTGTGCACGGGCCCATTTTTATCGGGCGTGGATTTCGAACGGGCGAAAGATTCGTTCGAGGATTCATTCTTCGCGCCATTTATAGATTTTTTTCCCAGATATTTCGAGGGAATTTTTATATGAGAGGTTGGTTAATTAATTAATTGATTTCCGATTTTTAATTGTCGTGTTATTTCGACTGTATGATCGATTTGACTCGAAATGTTCAGGAACGAGGTTGGGTTTGGGGTTGTTGTTTTTTGAAGAATGATCTTTCTCTTGTTCTGAAAATGTAAACAGTTGTAAAACAGATGTAAAGAAATGTGTAGAAATTCTATGAAAGCATTACGTGCTGCACGAATCTGAGTCCTGTAATTAGAAGAGCAAGAACGAAACCGAAGAAGCGGTTACAATTAATGGGCCTTATAGTAATATGGAAGACACGCGAGTAATTTTGACTTTGAGAATTGAATGTGTGCGATTGGGCATTGAGATTTTGCACGAAAGAACGAGACTTTTGATGAGTATGAATGAATATTTCTAAAAAAAAAGATATTTTTTTAAAAAATATTCTTACAGATTGAAAAATAGCGATTATAATTTTTTAGAAATTTAAGAAACGTAGATAAATCTTTTAAAAGGTTTTTTTTTTTTTTTAGTGAATTTGAAAGTATCTAGTTGCAATTTATAAAAGTCAAATGAAAAAATTAGGAAAGAAGTTTCTTGAAAATTAAGAATTAGAATGTAGAATTCTTAAAAATATTTTAATAACTTCTCAATAAATTAAATTCAAGAAAAAAAACTAGAAATAACCCTAGAATTTGAAAGAATACTTGCTTGAAAAATAAACAAATTCTTCAAATTCTATGAAATTTCACCGAAACAATCTTACAAAACTAGAGTTTCTACGATTCTTCCAAGGAAGAATCTTTCTATATCGTGAAACGAAGCTAATGATACGGTATTCCACTCAATCATATCGATGAGTTCCATAATTGCCCCGCGATTCTAACCGGTTTCCACGGCTTCTGTTCTCCCTCACTTTCAACGAGTTTCCAAAATAAAGCTAATGATACGCCATACCACGATCTTATATATATATATATATATATATATCGATCCAATCGATCCAAGGATCGAGCAATTTTATTAGCTTCGTCGATTATATACCGGTCGATTAACTTCGACCGAGCATTGGCTCGCTATCGTCTTAAAATCTCGGCCAACGCAAATCGGGTAGAACTGGTAAGCTTTATGACAATGATCAATCTTCTAGTTCAACTATCTATTACCTAACTTGCAAATTATGTACCCAATGTTATCCATATATCTATATTTTAATATATATATAATTTTATAAAGTTTGTTTTATTTGCTTATCTTTCTGTGTTATTTAATAGTATATATAGTATATATATATCGTTGATTGGATTGAAGGATTTATTTATTTGTGTATTTTAAGCTTACAATTTTTTTTCTTTCCAAGTTAAAAGGCTTCCTGAGGAAAGGAAGTATCGATGCTTTAAATGAAAATATAAAATGCATATATTATACAAACTATTATTAATTGAAAAGAATAAAATCTTAGTAGAGAAAGAAATTCTGAATAAAAATTTATTCATAATTTTCAAGGAATTAATAATGAAAAACGGATATCTAATATATAACATCAATTAAAATTGATTTGTACTGAATTTGTATTTAAGCATATGTAAAAACACATAAATATCGAAATTGGATTACTAATGCAATCAACAGTAATATTTAATGAACTTTTTATATTAATTTTAACCTATCCTACATAAAATAATTTCCCTTTGTTTCAAAACTAATTCTATTGGCAAAAAGTAGACCAACTATTTTTCAACTTCGATTCAACTTCTACTACACCATATTACACACCTATTACGTTATATCTTATTAAGAAACGTGGATACCATATCAAACTCCATAACACTCTGATAAATAATATTTAACGAATTTTTTATATTGATGAAATTTTAACCTATCCTACATAAAATAATTTCCCTTTGTTTCAAAACTAATTCTATTGGCAAAAAGTAGACCAACTATTTTTCAACTTCGATTCAACTTCTACTACACCATATTACACACCTACTACGTTATATCTTATTAAGAAACGTGAATGTCACATCAAACTCCATAACACTCTGATAATTTGCTATTGACACGACACGCACCGATGTGTGTTCTCAGCCTACCAAATATCGCGGACACGCTCCTCTGAAACTGGCCGTGTAAGAAGAATAAAATGAAGAAGAAGAAGAAGAAGAGGAGGAGGAGGAGGAAGAAGAAAAGGAAGAAAAGGAGGAGGAGATCCTCGAGATCTCCTCTCTGTATCCCTTGTGGTCGTCCCTCATAACCGGTACTCAACGACGCGCCACTAGCCACATGTACAATGTTTAGCCGCATGAAAAGCAAACCCTGATGGATATTTTCATTGCCGCGATGACACTGGCTCGGCCGTGAGAGAATCGGCCGGTCGTGTACACCGATTCGCCGATGGATCGGGCGTTCGATGCCCGTGGGCCCCGATGATTGGGTGTTGCGGAGGATCTAACGATAAGTGATGGATGGAGGGATAGGATTCCTCTGGGATTTTTAGGTTTGTTTAGCTTGGAAGGAGGTTGGGTTGGGAGAGAAGGGTGGTGGAAGGTGAGGGATTTTTTTATGATTTTTCTCTCCACAAATTGCATTTCTTTTTTTTTTTTTTTTTGGAACACCAGAGGTCTAAATCACGAAAGAGACGTTGACACGTTTGTTTGAGAGAGGATGAAAGAAATGAAAAAGTTAATGGTAATAATAATGTGACTTTTAGAATTCACGAACGTGTCTTATATCATTGATAATTGAATATTTGAATCGGTGAAAAAATAAAAAGTTGTTTATTATTCCAATGAAAGATTCGCTTTATGGCTAATAGTGCAATAGTATTTAATTTTAACAAAATGGATAAATTTTCACAGTGAAATCAGCGAGTACATACTTCTGTGAGATGAGATGGCTTTTTATATTTTTTTTCATTGTTGTTTCTTCTTCCTCCTCCTCCTCTTCTTCACCGTCCGGTATAGAGGCTCTCCTTCTCGAAGGAAGTAACAGTATCCGAGTGGATGGATTCCGTGCGAGGTGTGCAGGGACCGTGTGGATTGTGTGCAGAATGAACGCAAACTCTGTGAGGGTAATTTGCAACACCGGCAATTTACATAATTAGCAGTTCTCAACTTGCGGCCCTCTACGACCCCCACCACGCACCCGTTCACCCTCCCCTCTCGCCCCGCTCTCGCCGTCCTTTTTCCTCTTCGGTCTTTTTCCGATATCGGAGTCGCGGATGTCGAGGTGTTGTTGTCGGGAGAGAGGGAGAGAGAAAGAAAGAGAGATGGCGTTGTCGCGCCAGCCGAGTGTTCTGATTCGAGTTGAAGGCAGTCCGGTTACTTTTCGGATGATGATGATGATGATGATGATGATGATGATGATGATGATGATGATGATTATTTGATTGTAATTTGGTGATAATTGGAGATGGTAAGGATGGTTAATAAGGATATAATAGGATTGGATTTTAAGTTTGAATAATATAGTTACGATAATTTGTGATGTAAATTAATTTTCTTTGAAAGAATTTTGTTGAAATTAATCTTTGGAAATGGTAAATGCAAAAATTTATTTATATACGCGGCGTATAGACGCTTAATGAGCTTTAGCTGATGATGATTATGAGACGGAGTGTAATTTATTTTCAATTTTGATTATAATATTTATATAATATATCTTTGGTAAAAGCAATGTAGATAGATACTATTCTTTTCTCTTTTTCTTTTTTTTTTTTCTTTTTTTTTTTTATAGCGATTGTGATAATCT